TATGTGACAAAGCAGATGTGCTAAAGAAGAGCAGTTTTTCAGTGATTTACAGCCGACTGCTCAGGAGTTGGAAGGGCAGTTCAGGTTTCACGTGTAACTGCAGAGGGCACGTGGTGCTCCCAGCCGGGGAGCAAACCAGAATTGCTCGGACTGGATTTGATTCCATATTCCCACCGTCTCTGTCCACACACAGCTGCTGAGGGAGCGTGGGCTTTGGCAGCCTCCCCTAGTAACTCCTGGACTTCGCAGGAGGTGACCGAGCGAGGACAACGCCGAGGAGGAGCATCCACCAGGGCACCAGCACCACCACTGCTGCAGGGGTGGATGGAGCTTTGATCTTATCCTGCAGACCCTCGCTCGTTAGCCTGAAATCAGGCACATCACCTCGGTAGTATTAGGGAGGAGGAAACCTGGAGATTTGAAGGGTCTTGTGTTTAAGCGGCATGGCACGGCGGTAAGACAAGGTGCATACTTCACGGAAAAGTACAGTTTGGGTTTCCCCATTAGGAGTCCATAGAAAGAAGCAGTGCAGGATACGTACTAGTGTTATAACACACTATAGCATCTCTTTCCCTATTTAGAGAGCATGTACTGACAGTGTTAATTTTTATGCTATGATTCTGCTAGGCACAATACAATAGAAATTTTGAGAAACTCTGCTTTCTCTGTCTCAAAAAATACATGTGTTTGGGGCTCTGCCCTTCAGATTTCAGAAGTTCCTGTAATATGGACTTAAAGACAAGTTGAAAATAACACTACATTTCCAGCAGCGAGATTTTAAGAATCAGATGTCACCCCACCCGACCTCAATTAAGTCAGGCAGAATCTGCTGAAGCAGCTGGATGGGATCAAGCAGGGTGTGAAAATCTGTATTCTAACGCTGGGCAGAGAAAAGAAGATCAGTTGGAAATTTCAGTGTGAAGCTGGTTCTGTATGAAGTGGAGAATTTCAAGTGTGAATGCGTGTATGTGTTCGTGCATGTGCTGGGGAAAGTAGGGTTGGCAAGGGAGACAGAGGAGAGCTTTGTGTTCAGTGCTTCCTCTGACACAGCTCAGCCTGTTCCCTATCTCCCAGTTTCACTTCTGAATGTGCAGGAACATGCGGTGGCTCCTTTTTCCCACCATCTTCATCATCCCTTGTACGCAACAGGTAAGTTCATTCAAAAGAAGAAAAAGATTTCTCCCTTCTTCACCCTGTCCCGGTTTAAAGTTTTTATTTGCTTAATGACAAAATAAATTGCAGAGAAGCAAATTCCTCATAAAGAATAAGGAGCCATTCCCTACTCCTGAGTAAATTTCATTTGCAGCTTATTTACTGCATCAGTCCTGATCTTGGTATTTTTTTTCTCTCTAATCTGTACATTAATATGATTCAGTGGAAAAAAAAAGTGTTAGGGAAGCTTAAATTGTCAGTGACCTTGCGCTTTTTTTGTTTTTTAAAATATAAGCACAAATTACCTGATGCAGTAAGAAAGTAAATATCTTGTCCATGCTCATACTCCATATACATAGATATATATGTATATATACATAGTGGTCTGACTTCAGGCTAGTTTTATAAATGAGAAAGGCACCTGGACTGTGTTATGCTTTGTCTCTTATGAGAAAATGTTAAGCAATAGCTTTTGGTGAAGGTATTTGTGTCAAAGGCCAATTTCATTACTTATTTACTTAATTTTTAAAATACACTTTACATATACACAGTGCATTTTTCCTTTACAATCAAGATGAATGTTAGATGGAGAATTTTCAAATGACTGTCTTCCTCTGCTAACTTTCTGCATATTTAAATCCAGACTAAGATAACTGAACGTTAGCAATAATACATTGCCTACTTTTTGCTATTTGCTTATTTATGCCTTACAGACCTTGTTCAATCTTTAAAACAAGAAAACAAACAACAACACATGAAGGGTTCCTGCACAATGGTCTCATTTACTGATCTGCCCATAGGATCAGGAAAAGTATGCAGTGGGCTTGTGTGATGTAGATAGCTTTGGTATAGAAACTTTGGGAAGCAAGAATCAGAAAAATATTTGACCTGTAAACTTTGCAAGCAAACTTTAAATTTTCATTGTAACTTAATAGATTTTTGAATATTTTTCAGGTAGACTGAGTTTCTCAGTAATTCCACAGTTAAAACTGTCAGATATTTGCCTGATGGTGTTTTTCTTACTGGGAAACTTTGTCACCATTCAGTTGACATCTTTCCCTAAAAAAAGGAGAGAAAAATCACTTGCTTAGGCAGAATTCTGTAGGTTTAAAGCACGTTTTAATTTGTAATACAAATTAAACATACTGGTTGAAGCACAGGGATTATTTCCTGCTACACATACCCATTTTGAAACGCGATATCTGATTTAAGCCACATAACCTCATATAGCTGGCACATGGCCACATTCCTAATAATAACAATACTCTGCTTAAAAGGAAAAAGCAGCAAGAAAGTGTTTCCTAAAGCAACCATACAATCTTGAACACTGCTAAATGTATAGGAACACCTGTGTGTCTTGTTTCCAGAACAAGCCTTTAAGAAGCTTTACACTCCAATGCACATGTTCATCAAATTAACATTATGGTTTATAGGAAAGGCTTAGCTGCCTAAAGAAAAGAATGCTTAAGTTAGTTGTTTCTATATTATTGCTGCATTTAGGTAAAAAAGGATTAGAAGAAATCCTTTATCAGCAAGTGAATAACAAAATAACACGTTTATGAAACTATCTTCTGCACGCTGCGTGGGATACCACATGACATTGTTTAAAATTCATTTATTATATGAATTGCCTTTGTGAATCAATATCTATCTTAAAAATCATTCAGCCAAAGGAACTTGAAAGCTGCTACTTTGGAGCTTCATTAGTAGCTGTGGATTAAGATATCGTTAAGTATAGTTGTAAATGACCATGAAAAATGGAAATTAGTGGTAGAAAAAAATCCTTTTAAAAGGTCATTTACTGCTGCATGCAATTAGGCGAGCTCAATTATGCTGTGAGAGCTTTCACGGGATTTGACACATGAAATGCTGAATTCTGCAGATATTTCCAGTTTGAAAGTTGAACTAAAAGGAAACCCAGCTGAACGACCCCTTCCCCAGCTTTTCCTTAGCGTCTCTGCTGGAGGTGGTGTCTACATTGCTAGAGCCCTGCAGTTTGGAGGAACAGAGAAAAACTGGTCAGCAGGGCTTCACACACCCAGAAAAAATATAGGCTGTATATATATTTTTTTTCCTGCAAGCTAGATGGTGATACTGGCACCTGATGAGGAGCTGGATCTTGTCTTTCCCTCTTGCTCTTCGGGCAGTCAGAGCTGCTTGATGAGAGCAGCTCCCAAGCCTTACATTGTACTAGTGGCCAAGCACTGTGTGTGCCCCCACATAACTATGGATCCAGTCATCCGCGATGAATAACTATATCACAATCTGCATTTCTGCTGAAATCAGCAGCATGGAAAGATTTAATGCTAAGATCTAAACTTGTTATGTTTTAGATGTCGTTCTTCAAAAAAGCAGATTGAATATAGCTATCTCAAATAGATCCTTTCACACTCTGTGCTGACTTAATCTTCCGTCATGCCACAGAAAATTAAACCCATCAAGAATTACTTAGGACTTCCTTTTTTTAAAAAAAAAAAAAAAAAAAAAAAAAAGAGAGAGACATGAATTCTGAGACAGAATGTGGAAAACAGTAAATTCTCGCTAGATCTTGACTTCCTACTGCTGATACAAATCTCTTTTAGAGATACATCTTTGCCCTATAAGCCCTGGATTCAATAAACACTCATGCAAACAGATACACTCTTAGAAAATGACCTATTAAGCTCAATGCAACTGCCAGCCTCCTTTATTAGGGTGCAATTTTTGCATCTAGCACAAGAGAACTTGTAAATACTATAATGCTTCTTCCCAAACAGCTACTCAAATTTTGGAGCAAAAGTAACACTCAAAAGAGGTTTACTATTTTAAAAGGCTTTTGCCATCAGAAGTGGCACACAGGGCAGCGGCTGGCTGTCAAACAGTGGGAGCAATCAAGAGCTAATTAATTAGATAGGATGTTTGTGGGAAGGAATATTTAAAATAAATCCACTGTCTACTTTAAAACACTTTTTTCCCCTACTTTAGCTCTACTACAGGTTTTGTTCTATTGAAGGCAAAGGAAAGACTGGCGAATTTTGTTTCATACAAGCAGTAGGCCAGGCTCACTGGTGGAATGACACCTGTCCTGGTTTCAGCTGGGATGGAGTTAATTGTGTTCCTAGTAGCTGGTACAGTGCTGTGTTTTGAGTTCAATATGAGAAGAATGTTGATAACACGCTGATGTTTTCAGTTGTTGCTAAGTAGTGTTTAGTCTAAAGTCAAGGATTTTTCAGCTGCTCATGCCCAGCCAGCAAGAAGGCTGGAGGGGCACAAGAAGTTGGCACAGGACACAGCCAGGGCAGCTGACCCAAACTGGCCAAAGGGGTATTCCATACCATGTGATGTCATGCCCAGTATATAAACTGGGGGACGTGGGGGTGGGGGATCAGTGCTCGGGGATCTAATGGCATCAATCGGTGGGTGGTGAGCAATTGCACTGTGCATCATTCGTATATTCCAATCCTTTTATTATTACTGCTGTCATTTTATTAGTGTTATCATTAGTAGTTTCTTCCTTTCTGTTCTACTAAACTGTTCTTATCTCAACCCACAAGTTTTACTTCTTTTCCTGATTTTCTCCCCCATCCCACTGGGTGGGGGGGAAGTGAGTGAGCGGCTGCGTGGTGCTGAGTTGCTGGCTGGGGTTAAACCACAACACACCTCAGTGCACAACAGTGACTGATGAAATTGGTCCTCTGTCTCCTACCTACACCTCACAGCCTCTCCTTTTTTGGATCCTGTGAGATGAGAAATGTGTCTTCATGCAACTTCACAGGTTTTTTTCCATCCTAACTTCATTTTATACTATCCCAGCTACGATAATGCATTCAGCTCTCAAAATATCCCACTGTGTGCAAGTTTTTCCACAGCCCACCAGCGAAGCCTGGAGAAAAACCTTCAGAAACTGGTGAAGTCCACCAGCGCAAGGAGGTTTGTCACTGGCCATGCAGATGCCCACCTGTGCCAACCTGCACCCCCGGGGTAAGCTTGGTGAAGGACGGTTGTGGCTGCTGTAAGGTCTGTGCCAAGCAGTCAGGAGAGACCTGCAATGAAGCAGACATCTGTGATCCCCACAAAGGCCTCTACTGCGACTATTCGGAAGATGAGCCTAGGTATGAAACAGGCGTGTGTGCATGTAAGTTGTTGTTTCACATTCCCTTCTTGAAATCTGGGAGGGTGGGACCACGCAGGTGAATGGTTTTGGAGGAAAACTCTGCTTGCTGGTGCTGCACAGCTCTGTGCTAGACCATTTATCCTAATTTAGTCCTCCATCTGCTCACTCAGAGAATCTGAGAGTAGGGCTGGGACTGTCTTTAAACTTACCTGTGTATGAATCAGTGAAACAAGTTCATTGTGCACAAGCCTGTTATTTACAGACATGTTGATGACTGATTTAAAGTTTGGTGGCTGTAGTTATCACTGGGCATAAATAAAAAATACGTGCTTGGGTGGGAAGAGCTTGAAGCTGTGGGCACAGTAAAGGCTGATTGCATTTTAGCACTCCGTAAGCATGAACCATGTGCTTCTCCTGTGTTAGTAACTATTGTTTACCATTTGCAGATCTGGTAGCTGTAGGATGTGAGCTCAATGGAGTTTATTATCTTAATGGGCAGACCTTCCAACCTAACCCACTTTATAAGTGCCTGTGTGTCAGTGGTGCAATTGGATGTACACCTGTATTCACACCAAGATTAGCAGCAAGTCCCTGCACCAGGGTCACAGGCAGAAAGAAGCCTGGACAATCCATCTGTGGCCCAGGACAGCACAAGCAGCTTCAATCAACAAACTACAGACTGATGTCAGGTGTGCCTGGCTACTTTTCTGGTAAACTGGTTCCTGGTAAACTTTTCTGTACATAAGCCTTGCTGCATTTAGCATCCCTGGCTCCAGCAGCCAGGCAGGCAGCGCACTGGCAATTTCTCAGTTCTTCCTGAAGGCCATTGCCAGGGTGACTGGTCTGTCCCAATTACCCCTCTTACTCTTAGGTCACAGATTCTTTTCTCTAAACTTGATGACTATGAAAAGCAAAAAGCCTTTTGGCTTCTGTCACCAGGGAATTGGCCAAAGCTACCTTCAACCCATCTTTCTGCCGAGGTTTACTACTCATCAGATCAGACCAATTAGGGCTGCTGGTGGACAGCCATTTCGCAGCCTGGGAACCGTCTCACTTCCTCCTGCTTTGTGGTGGTAGGGAGTCTTGGCCTCTTCTTTCAATAGAAAGCAGAAAATGAAAACTGCAAGGACAATGCTTCTCCCAATTTCTTCTCTATTCAGTCTAATCAAAAGCATCCACGAGCTTATCCATGCAGTTCTGCCAGGGTCAGTTGATATTCCCTTTAACCTCATTCTTGCTCTGCTGTTAACACTGTAGTTCTCTTTTTTTGCTTTAAGGAAGCACCATTGCCAGAAGCAGCTCTCCTTGCCCTTCCCTGGCCACAGCTGCCTGTGCTTGTGCTGTCTCCTTCCAGGTGCACATGCAAGTTTCCATGGTGAAACTCCTCTTCGTTACAACTAATGTGGGTACCAGAAACCCGAGCCATTTATTTGGTGGCAGCTTCAATTGTGGGAAAGTTATGGCTCAAATCATCATCATGGATCTATAAAATAAAACTAAAAGGATCACAAAGCTTATCAGAAAACCTTCATAAAAAGGCTACTGAGTAAATAAGTAGATGCACTTAAGTCAATCTGCAGATAAATAGACCTGCTTACAAAACCTGAAGTTCAGTTTGGACAACTTCTAACACATTACCAGTGGTTATGCAAGTTGGCAAAAATTAAAAAAAAGCAGCTCATTTTTACTTCAAAAGCATGATACCTATAACTAGTATCAAAGCCTTTTTACAGAAACATACTTAATGCTGTGTATAAACACACACTCAGTATAGCAACTGACTTCAAATGAAGAGTTAATTTCTAGAGAACATTGCTAATTTGATCAAAGAGAGAACATAACATGTTGAAAACAATGGCAACCAAACCATTTGACCCCATGAAATATATTAATTGGGTTTGTGGGGAGCTGTGTTTCCAACACCTGGAGCACAGCATTAAGCCATTTACTTTGTAGCGCTTCAGCAGCTCCAAAAGCTGAAGTCCAGCCTTCGGTAAACTCCTTCACTGACTGCAACGCTGCACCTCACAGTGTTTATTCAGGAATTTGAATCAACTGCACAACATAACCTTGAGAAAAGATACCCAGCTTGAAAAGCACACTTCCTATTTGACTTGGTTCAGGGACCTGACAGCCTGTCCCTGTGGTGACTGTATGTGCTGAAGGATGGCATCCTTCAGGTGATACAAACCCTCTGAAGAAAAGCACCTTGAAATTTTTGTTTCAAAGTGAGGTCTTCCCCCTTCCCTTTCCCAGTGCAGCAGAAGTATCAAGTCAACTTGTGCATGAATTTCATGAATGGCTCAATGGACCAGTATTATATATATGTATAATATCTATTTTGAAAAGCCTTTTTTCTGTTACTGTGGATAACAAGTGCTAAGTTGCACTTCACTGCTCTTGCTTTGTTTTCTGGCTTTCCTCGTCAAATTGATTTACCCAATTCAGATACACAGGGATGTACCTAGGTCATACTTTAAAAAATGTACCAAGTATAAACAGCCATTTAACTTGCCTTTATTTGTTGCAGATCTGTGGATCTGCAGGCTTCTAATCTGCTTGCTGCAACGAGATCTTTAAATTGCTGTCTACTTTCCAGGTATCCTTGTAATTCTGCCTGTGCTCTTACCTAAATGCACAGATTCCACAGAGTCAGGGTTTTTTTGCAGTTTCACCATGAACTTTTGCACCACAATTTTGTTTCTTTTTTAAAGTGCACTCCACCTAATCCAGCCCTAATCTATCAGAAAATAGGCTTTTTGGTGATATCTGTAAGTGACTGGAGAATTTTACTCCTCAACACAAACCCTAAAGCCTTCACAATATCTACAAAGAAACCAACATTAATGTTTTCAGCACCCATTTTCAAGCTATGCTTGGCCTTAAATAATTTTCAATGTCTCTTCCATTCTGGACATTCCATAAAAATTCCACAAATAACTCTCTCCACATAAAATTTCCATCATATTAAACTGGAGAGCCATACAACACATGCAACTTCATAGCCCTTGCTAGGGTCTGAGTATCCAGTATCAGTAAAGTTTAACAGCAGCTCAGCCAGCTTTTGTATAACTTTGTTTATGCCTCATTTTGAGATTTACCTACAAAAGCACCTTCATAAACAGAAATCAAATGTTTATCCTTCTATTTTCAACTAATCCTTTTGGGGCTGTTCTGCTGCATAAATAATATATTGCTGTCTTAGCTTACAGAAGCTTACCGCTAGTTTTGAAGAAAAAGTGCCTAGTACAGGCAACTCCCTGGACACCCTGTTCCAGGACCTGTGGCATAGGCATATCCAGCAGAGTGACCAACGAAAACAGAAAATGTGAAATGAAAAAAGAAAAGAGATTATGCTTCATCCAGCCTTGTCTGACGAATATACTGAAGACAATAAAGGTATTTTCTAATATAAAATGACTTCCTAATAGAAAATCAAAATATTGGAAGTAATGGAAAAATGGATATATTGGCAACTACTAATATAAAATGACTTCTTTTTCCAAGGGTTCTAAAATAACTCTTCTCTGTTTTCTACCTTCAGTCTTCAGCTTTCAATAGTGAACAACAGATGTATAACTTCAAACAAAACAATATAATGTCCTGAAATATAAGTGCTGCTAGTGCTGTCCTGGTGCTCAGTCACTCAGAAAATATTTTCTATTTTTTGACTGATAAACAAAAGACAGCTTTCAGAAGGAGTAATTTTCAAGATACTTCTATGTAAATGTTGCAATTTTTTCTTACATGTTGAGTTTTTAATGTGTAAAAACTCAGGCTTTTCTTTGTTTTATATTAAAGATTCCAAAAGGAAAAACATGTCAACCGACATTCCAGCTTCCTACAGCAGAGAAACTATTTTTTTCTGGATGCTCAACTACTCAAAGCTACAGACTAACTTTCTGTGGGGTGTGCTTGGACAAGAGGTGCTGCATACCTAATAAATCCAAAATGATCACTGTACAGTTTGAGTGTCCCAATGAAGGCTTCTTTAAGTGGAAGATGATGTGGATAACGTCATGCGTATGTCAGAGGATTTGCACTGCTCCAGGAGATATATTTTCTGAACTCAAAGTTGTATGACAAGTTACACCACTGACTGTAACGTACTGAGAGTGCAGCAGCCCACTCACACCCTGAAGAGTTAGCATAACCCTGAACCACAGCAATGTTATAGTGAAACTACATATGTGAATATTCATTTTTTAAATAGCACCTGGAAAACACAAGTAAGAGTGCATCTTTTTAAACATAATTGTTTTTATATGTGGAAATACATTCTTGAGAAGGATGTATATAACAGTAGTATTATCAAAACAAGAACTTTTGTTAATTGAAAAAGGTACAGCAAGACAGCTTCATACCCCGCTGTAACAAGTTGTTGCCCACAAAGACAACTACATATAAATTCACAGATGCTCTAACCTATTAGAAAAAAAAATATTACCCTGTAATACTTCATCTATTATTCTTGATTCTCAAATTAACATTTTCTACTATCTATCTGCAATAGTAAAACACATCAATGCTGTTTGAAACAGGAGAAGTCAATTTTAAGCTCAGATTGCTTTTTGCAGCAGATAATCTTTCTCTAGTGTTGTGAATATAAACAATGCACTTGGTAAAGGAACAAGTAAGCGGGCACCTGCAGATAATAGATGCAAAACTTCAAGGAAATTACTATTTTTTGAATGTTTTCTTAGAAAAATGCACTCAAATGATATCACAGTGTTTTCTTGAATACTTCTGGACTTATACATTGAAAATTGTGCTTACTTACACACCCACTCCAACTCTGCTAGAAGGGCTTCAAGCTTTAAGAAATCATTGTATTGATCCATTCTGATTTGTAACAGTTCGCAAGTCTTGCTGTTCTAAGACAGCCAAAGCTGGCAAGCAATTGGAAATAGTTGTACATTCTGTTTTGTAAAAGTTCTTACTGTAATATAAAAATCTACTTACCCTGATTATTATAAATATTAAAACATCTATTTTACTTGCATTCTTTTAAGCATATAAACTTTGTTCTCTGAACAGTCATTATAACTTCATTATAAGTGCATGTTTCGCTCAGAGGTATACTGTTTTATCCCATTATCAAGTGCAAATCAGCATTCATGAATATTAATCATTAAAAAATGTTAGTTAATACTCCAAGTATAATACTTGAAACAAAATTTTGTTGAATTTTCTGATATTGCCAATTTTGATATCAACTCAGAATGCTCTAATACTGCTAAGTACAACATGGAAGCAGAAATATTAAAACTATGAATATAGCTTCAAGCATTCCGAAATGACTACTATCCTGCAAAGTTTAAGAACCCAGTTTCATTAGAGACTTGCTTTCACCTTTGAAAAGACTATGCAGGCTTTTCTTCTCTTCATAGTTGCTTGTTAAAAAACAAATCTAGCAACAGTCATCCTTCTTTGAAGCAAGGCCTGCCTTTAGTTTACTGTAAGCTGAAAGTCTGAGAAAAGAACTACATTTTTGGCTGCTATAACCTCTCTTTCTTTTCTTTACAGCATATGGTATGTCAATTTACTCTACAGTAAGAAGACTGCTCTTACTAATATCCACTATAATTAGGTGCCTTTAAATCTTTCTTACAGGCTGGGCCTTGTCACTTAATATGACACCTCTCAGAGCTGACAAAGCCATTGTCCCAGTCTCACTTTGGAATCACAATAGCTAGGCATGCTGCAATTCATTCTGGTTAACTGAAGTGGTTGGATGTTTGGTTGGTTTTTTTTTTTTTTTAAGAAAAAGAAAACCAAAACAGTTCTTCCTTCTTTAAACAGCTATCTTCAGTCTTGATGGGTCTGTTCTAGGCCCACCTTTTGTGGCATCCAGTTCATTGTACTCTTCTATTAGGTCAGACAAAGATGATATGGCTTCAGAAAAACAGCTTTGCTCCATTCCATCTATATGCAGATAATGGTGAAGGTGAGCCTATGAGAATAAAAAAAATTCAGTGTTATCCTTTTTCTTGGCACCTAATTCATTTGGCTCAATAAGTACCATTTAGCCTGCACTGAAGAGGGGAGTGCAAGCAATGTAGAAAGTAGATTTAAAGACTTACATCATGATATCCCTTGTGCAAATAATTGGCAACTTTAGTAACAATCCCCTATGGAATCACAGTCGATATTACTGATTTCTTATACATCCATCTTTTCATATGCTGTCTTCTTGGGTACAGCTGACCAAACTGTGTATTGAGTTTATATGGCAAGGTTTTGGTAGCAGCAGGGAGCACAGGGCTGCAGGGGTGGCTTCTGTGAGAAGATACCAGGAGCTGCCCCCATGTCAGCAGAGCCAGTTCCAGCCAGCTCCAATATGGACATGCTGCTGGCCAAAGCTGAGCCCATCAGCGATGCTGGTAGTGCCTCTGTGATAATGTATTTAATGAGGGGTAAAAAATGCTTCACAACAGCTGAGAGAGAGAGAGAGAGTGCGAGCAGAGTTAGAAAAGTGTGAGAAACAGCCCTGCAGACACCAAGACCAGTGAAGGAGAAGCAGGAATGAAATTAAGCCTGGGAAGAAGGGTGTGGGGTGAGGTGAAGGTGTTTTCAGTTTTGGTTTTATTTCTTGCTATCCTACTCTGTTATTGATTGGCAGTAAATTAAATTACTATTCCCCAAGTCAAGTCTGTTTTGCCCATGACAGCAATTGGCGAGTGACATCCCTGTCCTTATCTTGACCTATGAGCCCTTCTAAGGGAGGGAAGTGAGAGAACATCTTGGTGGGCACCTGGTGGCCAGCCAAGGTCAACCCAGCACAAACTGGTAGGCTGATCTGTCAGATACTGCCTCATGGCTGAAGAAAGTAAGTATATTGACTGGTAGGTACAGATTAATAAGGGATTTATGCTTTTTAAGCAGCAGCTGTTGGAATGATTCCTTGATAGGTAATGCAAATAAAAATCTTCGGCTGTTACTTTTAAGCAGTCCCATTGCAATACTAAGATTTGCTTCCCAATAATGCAAGAAGATAATGATTAGTGGCTACAGATGTTATAATAAGAGTTTTACCTTTTTCTTATAGAGCTTCATAAATCTGTCTTTGAGTTCAATGAAAGTTGGTTTTACACAGGTGTTGTTTGCTAAAGACAGAAGGGAATGGGAATGGCCCACAGGAGGTACTGAACACAAACCAGTTTTCCAGCCCTCTTGGTTCCAGGAGACAAAGTGCAGGGAAGGCTTCAACCTGTGATACAAAAATGTAGTTACCTAAGGAATGTAAATAACACAAAGCTTAAGTTTCCTTTGCTAAAAAACAGTCCGAAAAGGTTAACATTTAAGCTTTCAGAACTAAGCAAGCCAGTTATAACTATCATTTTGAATAAGACATTTTAGACTTCAGACTAAAACACTGTGTGTATTTTAAATTTAAATGGCAAACGCCAATTTTGTTAATTTAATGTATCAGGGTTTGAAAAGTAAAGTTACACACACTCATTTCTATATCAGGGACTGCAAGCACTCTGAGATTTAGGAGACGGGCAGTTTATTATTGTGTGGGGACAATCACAGTCTACCTGTAGTTTAGAAAAAAGTGCTCTAGATTCTCAGAAATTTTCCCCACACACCTGTGTGCCTGTAAACTCCATTCTGTATGCGAAGCTTGCCTGCCTTTTCTGTTATAATTATGTACATCGATAGCGTAAAAGGTAGAAACAGAGTGCTAACAATACAGAGTTAAAATAAGGATGATTCCCTAGCTACATGAAAGTAACCATGAAAGAGAGTGGCCTCCTGTTCAGTAAAAACAAACTTCTACAGAACTTATTCCTCCAACATCTTTTAATGGCAGAAGACCTCTGGAAGGTCAGGCTTTGCTTTCTTTTGCATTTTTGAGAATGAAAGGAGCAGCACAGGGATATCTAGTCAGCTCCCTTTATTTGGAAATCCAAGAATGCTGCAACTTACTCTAACTCACAATGTAAATTAATTACGTTTTCTTCCCTTCTGAAATTAAGAAAAATATTTCAGAGTAAACTGATTCAGTATTGAAATTCTTCAAATGAAAAGTGAGAGTGCTCTGGACAACTGACAACAGTTTCAATAGCAAATCCCATGACAAATTTGTGTGGTATTACCAACCTTTCAATATTTCTGCGAAGATCTGAAACCTGCACATTTCCTCGAACGAGAAGTGCACAGGCAAGGTAGAGGCTATGCTTTGGATCTGCTTGAATTAGTTGATGTTCTCTACTAAAAGCATCTGAAAACATCTGATCCAACCTAGGTGAAAAGAAAACAGAGTTATCTGCTCTTACTAAACCAGGCTACAAAAGTTCTTCAGAATGCTGACCTTCAGGGTTTAAAAGTTCATAAAATTCTGGAGATAAAGGTAGATTTAACCTAGGACCATGAATGACAGGAAAAAGATTCAAACTTTTATATGCACATGTGTTGGCATTAGAAGTTTTTTTAAAAACACACCAGATCCATTTTTCCTTCTCTTTTCCCTCATGTTACAAGCCACTGTTGAGTCTAAAGTCAGAGAAGTGGACAGACTAAGAGACCTTTATTATGGCAATTTTAGGTCAATGGTTACAAAGTATTAAAAATATGTAAAAGGATTTAACTACTTGAGGTTCTGGTTATATGACAATTTGAGTGGAGAACCTCACTGCTTGTGAAGTATCTGACAGGGAATACCAAAGTGCAGCTGACACTTACAGAACTGATTATTGGCCTGTTACACTTCACTATTTAAAAGGATCAATGAATCATAGATTTGTATTAATTTTGATTAATGATTTAGGAAAAGCCAGACTATATATATTTGTCTACTTATTCTAATTTTATGATGTATGACTGCTTTAAAAGATGACACTGCAGACCATATTCTTTCCCTCTTCACCTCCTTAAGCAAGTTCCACTGTACTGTGGGATAGCAAAGATGCTGTCTTGAGGAGGTTTCTATGGACCCATAACATCTAAGTTATTCTTTCCATTTGTTCCAAACTCTCTGCATCTATCATCTCTTTTTTTTTTTTTCAAATCACCTCTGCCACAATCTGCCTATTAAAGAAATAACTAAAGGAGACAAAAATATTACTGTTCCCACATCA